ATTCAGTAGGTCAGTGAGATTCAGTAGGTCAGTGAGATTCAGTAGGTTAGGGAGGTTCTTTAGGTTGGTGAGGTTTTGTAGGCCTATTTCAGCAGTTTAGCTGCACATTCTTACAATTCCCGAGTTTGTTCCTTTTCTTTCATGTCAAAAGTCCAAACCAACAGATGAAGGTGAAATTTCAAAGGATACAAGGATTTTTATTGTCATTCACATCACATGTGGTACATGAGGTGGAACGAAACTATATACACAGGGTCCCAGTTACATCCAGCAAAAATACAAATTGTAAAGAAAAACGTTAATAAGATCTGAGTCATGAACTAAAAATATACTACATTCACTAAAATAAGAATACACTAAGCACTTATTACAATGTGCCCAAACAACAGCAGCACGAACATGAGTCTGTGTGAGCAGATGAGGACTAATAAACACAGCAACATGAAATAATCAGCAGCATGAGATCAGCAGCATGGATAGTCAGCAGCACACATCAATCAACTGGCATTACAGCCATTTTTTTCCCCACAGTAATTTTTCACAGTGATTATCCTGGTTAGAGAGATTCATGAGTGCAACAGCCTTGGTAGAAGCTGCTCCTCAGCCCGGTGACCCTGCACCTAATGCTACTCAGCCTTCTGCCCGAGGGGAGCGGGCCAAAAATTGTGTGATGGGTGAGTGGGGTCCTTCATGATGCAGGTGGCCCTCCTCCTGCAACCGGAGGTGTAATGTCTGCGATAGTGGGGAGGCCGATACCAATAGACCCCTGCACATTCTTCACCACTCTTTGCAGAGCTCAATAAAACAATACAAATAAACAATAAAACAGTAGTAACTCAATAAAACATTCTCATAAAAGTACAAAACGGATTCCAAAAATGTTGGGACACTAAACAAATTGTGAATAAAACCTGAATGCAATGATGTGGAGGTGCCAACATCTAATATTTTATTCAGAATAGAACACAAATCACAGATCAAAAGTTTAAACTGAGAGAATGTTTCATTTTAAGGGAAAAATCTGTTGTTTCCAATTTTCATGGCGTCAACAAATCCCAAAAAAGTTGGGACAAGTCCATTTTTACCACTGTGTGGCATCCCCCCTTCTTCTTCCAACACTCAACAGACGTCTGGGGACAGAGGAGACCAGTTTCTCCAGTTTAGAAATAGGAATTCTCTCCCATGTCTAATACAGGCCTCTAACTGTTCAATCGTCTTGGGCCTTCTTTGTCGCACCTTCCTCTTTATGATGCGCCAAATGTTCTCTATAGGTGAAAGATCTGGACTGCAGGCTGGCCATTTCAGTACCCGGATCCTTCTACGTAGCCATGATGTTGTGATTGCTGCAGAATGTGGTCTGGCATTATCGTGTTGATAAATGCAGGGTCTTCCCTGAAAGAGATGACGTCTAGATGGGAGCACATGTTGTTCTAGAACCTGAACATAGTTCTCTGCATTAATGGTGCCTTTCCAGACATGCAAGCTGCCCATGCCACAAGCGCTCATGCAACCCCATACCATCAGTGATGCAGGCTTCTGAACGGAGCGTTGATAACAACTTGGGCTATCCTTGTCCTCTCTGGTCCGGATGACATGGCGTCCCAGTGTTCCATAAAGAACTTCAAATCGCGACTCATCTGACCACAGAACAGTCTTCCATTTTGCCACACTCCATTTTAAATGACCCCTGGCCCAGTGCAAACGTCTGAGCTTGTGGAGCTTGCTTAGAAATGGCTTCCTCTTTGCACTGTAGAGTTTCAGCTGGCAACGGCGGATGGCACGGTGGATTGTGTTCACTGACAATGCTTTCTGGAAGTATTCCTGAGTCCATTCTGTTATTTCCTTGACAGTGGCATTCCTGTTTGAGGTGCAGTGACGTTTAAGGGCCCGGAGGTCACGAGCATCCAGTAGAGTTTTACGGCCTTGACCCTTACGCACAGCGATTGTTCCAGATTCTCTGAATCTTTTGATGATGTTATGCATGGTTGATGATGATAACTTAAAAGTCTTTGCTATTTTACGCTGGGTAACACCATTCTGGTATTGTTGCACTATCTTTCTGCGCAACAATGGTGGAATTGGCGATCCTCTTACCATCTTGGCTTCTGAAAGACACTGACACTCTGAGAAGCTCTTTTTATACCCAATCATGTTGTCATTTGAGCTAATTAGTGTTAATTGGTCTTCCAGCTGTTCGTTATATGCTCAATTTCCTTTTTCCAGCCACTTGTTGCTACTTGTCCCAACTTTTTTGGGATTTGTTGACACTGTGAAATTTTGAATCAACATATTTTTCCTTTAAAATGTTACATTTACTCAGATGACAGATCAAAAGTTTAATCTATGTTATATTATGAATAAAATATTGACATTTGCCATCTCCACATCATTGCATTCAGTTTTTATTCACAATTTGTTTAGTGTCCCAACTTTTTTGGAATCCGGTTTGTAGAATCAGCATTAAAACCACAGCTTCTAATAAAAATACATTTTCTGCTGAACCTCCTTACAAAGCAAGTTCACATGGGGTCAAAGGTTAGTTTGTCATCACGAACAGTTCCCAGATTTATTTTTATTGATGCAACTTCCCAACGGCACCTATTTATGAACACAGGAGCTGCAATTGAGGAGTCTTTTCTGAAATCAGTGACTGTCTCCTTTGTCCTACAAACATTTAACTTTTTAAGAAGGAAAACTCAACCATTCAGTGAAGTCCCCGACCACAGGACCAGGGTCTGGGTCATCACTGCTGAGAAGGGACAGGATGACAGTCATCAGCAAACTTTAAGATGTGACGCTGTGGGAAATGGTTGCAACATTTGTTTGTATATAAAATAAAGAGGTGAAAGATCACAGCCCTGAGGAGATTCTGTAGAGAACAGAAGCACATCAGAGAGAACAAAATCCTGGATGACCGCCAGAGGCGGTGAATGATCATTCTTGCGCATGCGCAGGTCGAGTATTTTATGCCAACATAGTCACGTGTGACACTGGTGAGTCTATATAAGCACGTGACAACGGTAGCCCAGTCCCTTAATCTTCTCAAGAAACGCAATGATTCCGAGGGACCGAGTGCTCTGGCGGTTATCCGGGATTAATAGAACCATAGTTACAGTTGTAACTTTTGTTCTATTTCATCCCTACTGACCACCAGAGGTGGTGCTTAAAGCACTGGATGACGATTGCCAACAGAGTCCTGAGGAATCACACCCACAAAGAAGAAACAAAATTAAGTATGCCCACTTTACTGAAACGAAGATGGGTGCTGTGATAAGATCCCCTCCAATGGGTGAAAGACAGCCAGGTTTTCCCTGTAGAACCTAGCAAAGGTATTTGGGGATGACCAGGAGGCTGCTGCACATATAGCCTCCAGAGTGACCTCATTCATTGCGGCCCATGACACGCTAACGCTCCTGGTGGAATGGCATCTTACCTCCACTGGAGGTCGGTGGCTCTGTAGAGTGTACGCCCATTCCACCACGTCCACAATTCAGCGTGCAAGGCGCTGCTTCGAAAGGGCCTGCCCTTTGTGAGGCCCTGCATAGCAAATAAACATATTATCAGACTGCCACAGAGATGCTGTCCGTCTGATGTACGCTTCCAGTGCCCGAACGGGGCAGAGAGACTCATCAGCCCCATCTGCATCAAAGCGAGCAAGCTGGAGAGACAGAGAGTGGGTCACAGATGAGGCCACCTTAGGGAGGAACACCTGAACCAGCCGGGTTCCTACGGGAACGGTGCTCGTGAACAGACAGCGCATGGAGTTCACCTACTCGTTTGGCCAAAGCCATGGCCAGGAGAAACGCTGTCTTTTTAGACAAGTACTCAAGGCTCACCTCCGCCAATGGCTCAAATGGAGCTGATCGCATGGCAGCGAGGACCACAGAAAGGTCCCACACAAGCACGACAAGGCGTGTGGGGGGTGCAGACGTCTGACGCCTCTCAGAAACAAGGGCACATCCTTGTTACGACCTACTGTCTCCCCATCCACCATTGTATGCCAGCAAGAGATGGCAGCGACTTAAACTTTCAGAGTGGACAGAGGCTGGCCCTGAGAAAGTAGCGCCTGAAGGAAGGTAAGAATAATAAATAACAGAAAGAGAACAGTGTACAGGGTCCTTGTGTCTAGCACAACACCATTTGCTAAAAACCTTCCACTTATGTGTGTACACCAGTCATGTGGAATGGGCCCTGGCATTATTCATTGCATGTCAAACCTACCCGTCATATTCTGAGACGGTAATGTTGGGCCCTGTAGCGGCCAAGCCCAGAGCCGGAGGCGACTGGGATCGGGGTG